GATTAAAAAAAACTGTGTTTGTTCAAAAAATGTGACTTTGCTCATTCTGTATAAGTTATGTGATAAGCAGTATAGATTGCATGTAAGATGTCTTGGGTTATTTACTATTCCAACACAACAAGCAGAGGTAAATTTATTTCTGAGCCTGCACAACAGCCTAGGGAGATGAGTGTGCTGTGTTAGATCTTGACTTGTGTGTGGAGGTAGATTGCTGTGTTTACCTTTCTAAAAATTAATTGAAGTTCAGAATTAAATTCAGGGTGAACCCAAGATACGGTCTTTTGCTGCCTGTGGTTGAAGAATACATTATATTCCCTCCCACACATGCAAACACACTAACTCAAAAGAAACAATATCCAAGGCCAGTCAAATTGTTTTGACCCATAAAGCAGAGAATCCAAGAAGTGCATTTCCCACTACCTTGCAGTAAAATGTTAACTGCTAGTTAAATAACTGAACATCGGCTGTATGTTGGTGGCTTCCAAGGAATCACTTCATTGTGACTAACAATGAGATCATCCTACTTACAATACAAATTTCCCATTCAATAGAAGGAACAGAACAGTCATACTTTACCATGCAGGCAACAGGTTGGATGTAACTTGATGATTTGATTCAGATAAATATCATCCAAGGCATTCATCCTTGTGGACGAGCCCCCAGTGGCGCAATGGGTTAAACCCTTGTGCCGGCAGGACTCATGACCAACAGGTCGGAGGTTTGAATCCAGGGATAGCATGGATGAGCTCCCTCTATCAGCTCCAACTCTTCATGTGGGGACATGACAGAAGCCTCCCACAAGGATGGTAAAATATCAAAAACATCCAGGCACCCCCTGGGCAACATCCTGGACAATTCTCTCACACCAGAAGCGACTTGCAGTTTCTCAAGTCACTCCTGACAAGAAAAAAATCATTGTAGACTCCAGGGTTATTTTTAAGTGTTGTGCATCCTGTACAGAGGAAAATGTTTTGTGGAAAGGAATCCTGGGTGATGAATAAACAGGTGCTAGAAACCACACAGTACTTTCACTATTACATCCTTTCCTCAAGATAAATAAACCTTTGGAGTTCTGTGGTCTTTCTAAGACTTCCATAGAAGACTTCAGTCTATCCCATGATGCCCATAGGTCTGTTGGCCCTTCCAATACAAGGATATGAATACCTTTGCAGTAAAGAAAAGAGGTGATGTTGAAATATTAATTAAAAATGCATTACTAATAATATTAATAATAATAACAACAATAATAATTTTATTTCTTATCTGGCTCTCCTCATGGCTCTAGGCGGGTTACAACATCACCAAAAACACACAATCATCTAAAAACAAAATACACATATTAAAACATGGTTCTACAAAATACATATTAAAGTACACAGAACAAAGATTAAACATGAGATGCAAGTTTAAAATTCATTCTATCTCTTCTAGCAGGATAGGCCTGCCAGAAGAGATAGGTCTTTAGATGGTTTTTAAATTCAGACAGCTCATTTAGTTGTCGGAGCTCATTCCACAGTCTTGGGGCAGCTGATGTAAAGGTCCTCTGGATGACGGTCACCAGTAGTGTTCTGGAAGACTGGAGTAGACATCCCCCAGAGGACTTAAGTCCTCAGGGCAGATTGTACAGGAGAAAGTGATCCTGTAGGTAACCTGAACACAAACCAGGTAGGGCTTTAAAGGTCAAAACCAACACTTTGTGTTTTGCCTGGAAATTTATTGGCAGCCAGTGGAGTGACTTTAGGATAGGTGTAATATGCTTACTCCTGCATGTTCCAATGGAAAGCACATTGCAGAAGTCCAACCTTGAGGTTTCCAGTGTGTGCACTGCCATCTTTCGGTCCTCCAAATTTAGGAAGGGACATTGCTGGCTTATCAGCTGAAGCTGGTAGTAAGCACCCCTGGCCATCGCATCTACCTGGGATTCTTGATGGCAAGCATCTCTGCCTTGTCTGGATTTGGTTTCAAGGGAAATGCCATAGCCATCTCTCTCTCTCTGCCCTTTATGATTTGTATTGCCACCCCAGGTTCTGACTTATGTAGTCCTTTCTATAAGAGCCAAAATATAGCAGTCTCTCCAGCATTGGACTGGGATTCTATGAGACCACAGTTCCAATTAGTGTTCATTGATGGAAATCCATCTTGGACAAGTCCTTCCTTAAAGAAAGGAAAATATCCCCTTAATAAATCTTGCCACATCTTCACCACCACCAGGCATGTAGCCGGGGGGGGGGGGGGGGCTTGAGGGGCTTCAGCCCCCCCCCCCCAAATTCTCATGTGGTTCGCGAAAAGGCCTTACTGGTGCATTATTTAAACTGTTATGTTTATTCATATCATGATCTGATCACCATACTCAATATATCCCATATGCATGGGGGTATTGGGGTAACGATACAAAAGGTTTGGTAGGGTAGACCCTCTTTCACTCAGACTCAGCCCCCCCCCCAAAACAAACTCAGCCCCCCCCCGAATCGAAATCCTGGCTACGGGCCTGACCACCACCTTCCATGATAAAGTTGCCATACATTGGAGTCAACTTGATGGCATATAACAGCAACAGCACTACACCCTAATCTTTCTTTATCATAACAATTTCTAGTGTGAACAAAATTGAGAACAATTCTAGTGTGAAAAAAAATTACAGATTGGAACTTGAGAACTCAATGGATACTGCCCATATCCTCACATCCAATAAATACTATTGAACTCAGACTGGAGCCAAATTCCCATAATCAGATTCAACAGTGATCAAATTCTATTGACATGCTACTAAAATGTCTAGATTGCATTTGTATGGAGCTGTTTCGGGGGAAAAATGACTTCTCTGGCACATTTAAATCAATATGGAAAAGAAAGTCTTGTGGTGAGAGCTGCTTCCCTTCTTCACCATATCACACCTATGGCCTATTCAGTCTCATGCAAAATCCTCCCAACAGAAGCTTCATTCAAGCATAGTTGCTGCAAAGAAGAAATGCTGGAAAGAGGGAGGGCCAATGTGGTGTATTGGTTTCAGTATTCAATAAGCACTCAAGGACACCAAGGTTTGAATGCCTGAATAGTTATGAAAAACTACTGGGTAACTTTGGCTTTTTATCCTTTTTCTCCTCAGAAAAGGTCAATAGCAAACCACATCTCCCAATGGCTCCAATAAATTGTATTTTCTGGGGGAAGAGTAAGAACTAGACCTGCAAGGAGGAAGACTGTGTTATGTGTAAGAACAGATGCCTATGGAATAATAGAGTTGGAAGAAGATAAAAGGGACATACAGTCCAACCCTCTGCTATGCAAGAATCAAAGCACTCTGCATAGATGGTCATCCAACCTCTATTTAAGACCTCTAAATAAGGAGACTCCACCACACTCCAAGGCGCCAGCATATGCCACTATCAAACATCTTTAAACATCATGAAGTTCTTCTTAAGGCTTAGGTGGAATCTCTTTTCCTGCAGTTTGAATCCATTGCTACGTGGATTTCTCCAGAGCAGCAGAAAACAAACCTGCCCCTTCCTCAATGTGACATTCCTTCAGATACTTAAACACAGTTCTCGTGTCCCCTCTCAACCTTCTTTTCTCCAAGCCCGACATTCACAACGCCTCCCTAAGCCACTCCTCAGGGGGCTTGCTTCCAAACCTTTGATCTTTTTTGTTTGCCCTTCCTTGGACACATTCCAGCCCGTCAATATTCTTCTTGTTGCCCAGAGGTGGACACAATCTTATTCCAGATGAGGTCTGGCCAAAGCAGAATAGAGTAGGACTGTGACTTCCCTTGATCTAGGCCAGTGGTTCCCAACCTGTGGTCTGTGAACTACCAGTGGTCTGCAAGAACTAAAATATGGTCTGCCACCTCACTGTTACTACACTGTTGCAATGAGAGTGACTAGTCTTGCAAAACCCTCTTATAATGCCAAGGCTTATTAAATATGGTTTTCTGTGAGTGAGCAGATGGCGACTGCTGGATAGCATATGTTCTGTATCAGAAACTAGAGCTGAAGTGGTCTATTTTCTGAATCAGCCTACCCCCCAAGACCTCTCCACCACCCCAAAAACCCAAACCAAATCTAAAGTTGACCAAAAACTGATTCATAACCCTTTTGGTACTAATGTTGGTACTAATGTTGGGGAATGGTCCCTGGTCAAAGTGATCCCTGGTGGAAAAAAAAAGGTTAGGAACCACTGATCTAGACACTGCAGTTGTATTGATTCAGCCTAGAATCACATTGGTTTTTGAAGCTGCTGTGTCACACCTGACTCACGTTCAGCTTGTGGTTTACTAAGACTCCTATATCCCTTTCACCTATGTGGAGACACTGGCATGGTTGAGGCTATGTGTCTGAGGGTGCATGAAGGTGGCCTTCCCCACTTCCCCCTTATCCCATGCCCTGATGGCAACAGCTCCTTGGCATGAGAGCCAATGGTCCTGAGAGCCCGCACTGATGCTGAAGGCTTGGGCTGTATTGAAGCCTTGACAGATTGGTCTCAGTTTAGCAATTTGAGAACTGAATGGTGGTCTTCTATCTTCTAGCAAGCTTCCGGGACCCAGCTGTGTGCATTTCCTTTAAGGCGTTTGTTCTCCACCAAAAAAAGTCTTCCCTCCTAGTGCCCGAGGCCATTGAGTTCGTATCGATCCGGTTACTGGCTCTTCGGCTAGATTAATTGATTGGATTGATAGACCCGAGGAGCCCGCGGGCCTTCCTTCCCCTCCTCCCCGTCTAATGGTTGTCATGGCGGGGGGGGGGCGTTGTGAGCGGAGTGCCGCCCGAGTCCGCGCCTGTTTGTGCTCCCGGCGCTGGAGCGTGATTAATATCCGCCGTCCAGATGCGGAGAAATGAGGAAGAATAATGAAGCCGCTCATTAGGGGACGCCGCTCGGAAGGTCAAGAGCCGGGATCCAGGGGCCATGGGGGAAAGGCGGAGCCGGGGGGGGGGAGAGAGAGAGAGATGGGGGAAGAGGCTGGCAGACCCCTCTCCTCCTCCTTCTCCTTCTCCTCCGGAGTGCCGGGTGGGGGAGAAGTAGGAGAAGAAGAGCACGCGCCCGTGGAGGCAGGAGAGGGTCCGCCCGTCCAGGATCCCGAGTGAGGGAGAGAAAGAGAGGGGGGCGCGTCAAGATTTCACGAGGAGGGATTGGAGAAGCCCCGCCAGGCTGCGGGAAGAGAGGGAGGAGGAGGCGGGTTTTGAGCGGAGGACGGGAGAGAGAGAGACGGGGGAAGGAGAGGGAGAGAGGGAGAGAGAGCAGCCCCGTGCCCCGCTGCCGGCTCGCGCGTGGAGGCAAGCAAGCACCGCGGGTGAGTGAGTCCGAGGGAGGGAGCCAGGGGAGGAAAGAGGGAGGACCGGGACCGTGGTGCTGAAGGGACAGCTCCGCGCGGGGAGGGATGGGGGGAGCGGATCCCGCGGGGCCTGGAGGGGCGGCGGAGGGGTCTTAGGGAGTGGGCTGTTCTCTCACTCCGCCGCCCCCCCTTCCTCTTTGGAGGGCGCAACAGGGGAGGCTGCCTCGCTGGCTCTGCCTGCCTTCGGGAGTAACTTTGAGTGGTGCCCGAGAGGCGGCAGAGAAGGGGTAGATCGGGGGCCCCCAGTCGGGGGCTAACCGGGACGAAGGGGAGGGTGCCCAGCCTCGGTGGGAAGGGAGCTGCTCTGCATGTTAATGGCCCGGCAGTGCGGATGGGGGCGGGGGGAGGAGGAGGAGGAGTGGGACGGGGCGGGGGGTTCTCCGCCCAAGAGAAAGAGTAGGGGGGCTTGGGGAGGGGGCGATGGTTGGGAGACCGGCCAGGGGCGAGAGAGACCTCTCGCACACACACGCCGCGCGTGTGCCTCAGGTGATGCGCAGCGCCAAGAGGTGCGGAGAAAGCCCCCCCCTCTCCTTCCCCAGATCCCGCTCCACGCCCACGATTCTGAACTGCTAGGCATGCCGTGGCCTCTCCCTTAGAGGCGGCCGGAAAAGGGGATGGGGGGGGGGGACACGAGAGTAAATATTTGGGAGAATGTCAGAAGGAAGAGGGAACAGGCTTGGTTTCTACTGCCCTGGAGACTAGGATTCGGAGCAATGGGTTCAAATGGGAGGAAAGGAGATTCCACCCGGTACATTAGGAACTCCCTCCTGACCGAGAGATCTGTTCAACACAATAGTAGAATGTGCGGCTGCCTCGGAGTGTGGCGGAGGAGGCTCCTCCTCTTTTAAATAGAGGTTGAGTGGCCTGCGAGTGGGGCAAGGGAGGCTCTCCCTGAGCGAGGGGTAGAAGAGGAAAGTTCCCTTCTTCCTCCCTCCCTCCCTCCCTCCCTCCCAGGCGCTCCCTCCCAAGGAAGGGCAGAAGGCTCGGTTTGTGGAGCCGCCCGTGGCGTGTCTTTCCCAGGCGCGTGGACCTCTGATCCACCCAAATAGAGCTCTTTGCCCGGGATACTGCGCCTCGCCGGCCTCCGCCCCTCTGCTCCACACGCGACCTTCGGGTTGGAGGCTTCGCCTTCAGCCCTTCCAGTTCCGCCAATGGCACCAAAGCCGGCAGGAACTTCGGCTTGCCTGCTCCCTTCCCACCGGCTCCTCGCAAGTTTCTGCCTCCGGAGCTTTACACCTTTCCCCTCTCTTCCTTCCTTCCTTCCTTCCTTCCATCCATCCGTCTCGGCTCCGATTATCCCGTGTCAGCGAGGGTGTTCTTGGGCGAGGGGGTGGCGCAGCTGCCCAGCTCGGACTCCTTCCAGGAGCGCCAGAAACTCCTCCGGCAAAGTCTGGCTGAAGGAGGCCAAAGGAGGGCGAGCCCAGCCGCGTTCTCCCATGCCTTCTCGCCCAGGGCAAGGCGGGTCAGGGCTTGACTGATACGGGGCACCAGATCTCGGTGGCCCGAAGGGAAGTGTTTTCCCCAACCATGGAGTCCCTCCACACTTGCTCCTTCCATGCGGTGGACTGCAGTCTCCCCCAACCTGGTGATTGACAGACTGGAGGCCAGGGGAGTCCCATGCATGGCCTGCAGAGCACAAGATCTTCAGCTCAGACCCTCTCACCTATTCTCCTGTATATATTATTTCAGGCCGTCCAGGATTTTGAGGCGGGGGGGGCTGAGTCTGAGTGAAAGAGGGTCTAGCCTAGCAAACCTTTTGTATCAGTACCCCAATACCCCCATGCATATGGGATGTATTGAGCATGGTGATCAGATCATGATATGAATAAACATAACAGTTTAAATAATGTACCAGTAAGGCCTTTTCGCAGACCACGAAGAGAATTTCGGGGGGGGGGGCTAAAGCCCCCCCACCCCACCCCCACCCCCCACCCCCCGCACTACATGTCTGTACTTTTTCATACATAATTCTTCAGAGAAAGTTGAAACCTGATTTTATCCACGCAGAAGGGGTTACGCTTGTGTAATGTACTGTGGTACAAGAACCAAGGAGCCTTTTCACTCTGCACACCTTGTATGCATTGAGGTCACCCATGCAGGAAGATATTCATTGTGCTTCCCTTGTCTTCCCTTGTCATGTCATGCGTCCTCACATATTAGGCAATGTGCAGTTTACAGGTGATGTTAATGTTGGGGAATCTGAGCTGTTAGGCTCAAAATAACCCTCAGTTGGGGTGATTCCACCATAAATATAGCAGAGTACCAGAAGTAAACTTCATAACCAGCAGAAACTTAGGTGTGGTGAAGCTGGGGTAAGCTTCTTAGGATGTCATGGGATTGCAGAGTCAGAACTTTAGGTTCAAAAATATTTAGAATCATAGAATCCTAGAGTTGGAAGAGACGTCATGGGCCATCCAGTCCAACCCCCTGCCAAGAAGCCGGAAAATCACATTAAAAGCAACCCCAACAGATGGTCATCCAATCTCTGTTTAAAATCCTCCGTAGAAGGAGCCTCCACCTTCACCATTTAGTGTAGTAAAAGAAAGAAATTCTTGATAGAAAAGGTCATGGAGCTAACTAGCTTACTAAGTCTCATCTAAGAAGGTAAAAGGGTAAAAAGTTTTAAAAAATTCCATGCCCCTTCATTTTGCCTAAAGAGAGAGGCAAAGGCGTCCTCACTGGAAGGAAGAAAAGGCAGGAGAGACCATGGAGGATGGCCATGTGGCCAGCCTAGGGCAATAAAAATACCTTTAAAAAGGAAGTTCCCTCACAGAGATTCCTTTGCGATATCTTCAAAGAGGGAGGAGGCAGTGGCTAGCAGGAGGAAGAAAGACAAAGCCCTTTTGGGAAACATGCATGTTTTCTCTAGTCTAGTTACTCATTGAGGTCTGGAAACTTGATGACATAAGGTACTTGACATAAGGCAGTCCAAGGATGAAACCCAACAATCAAAACCACTGGTTTTGTAAAAAGTACACAAACATTCCGCCATGTCTTATGCCGTGTTTCAAATGCTCTGCAGGTGTAGGATTCATTGGCTAAATTCTGTTTTCTGATAGTATTTGTGTAACTGTGATTTCCCAGTATCAGGTCTTAAGTGGGGGAGATAATTACCAGGATTCAAGCCTCCATGGAATCTCTACTTGAAGCGAGATTTCCATAGTCTTTTAGATCTGAGAGAAAACTTGCTGTCATTTAGGGTGGTTTAGATGTTATAACATGGACACACACTCACATATCATATTTTTATGCTAGCAGTCAGTGTAGCCTCATAAGGATTGTCAGTCAAGTGTAAACGTCTGAAAGCCAAGACCTATGAGGAATGGCTTAAGGATGTTTAGCTTGAAGAAGAGAAAATTGAGAGGAGACATGATAGCCATGCTTAAATATTTGAAAAGATGTCACATTCAGGAGGGGGCGAGCTTGTTTCTGCTGTTGTGGAGATTAGGACACAGCAATGGATTCAAATGGTTTGAAAAAAGATTCTACCTAAACATTAGGAGGAAGTTCATTATGGTCAAAGCTGTTCAACAGTGGAATATGCTGCCTCAGGTGGTGTATTTTTCTCTGGAGGCTTTTAAACAGACACTAGATGGCCATCTGTTGGAAGTGCTTTGAAACAGTGTTCCTGCATGGCAGGGAATCATACTGCATGGCCCTTGCAGTCTCTTCGAACTTTGTAATTCTGGGCATACCTAGAGACATTGTAACTCTGATCACTGTACATTGTCCAGCAAGAACAGTTTGCATCGGAAACAGGGAGTGAGGTCAAGGCTGGTGGATCTCGACTCAAGTTTTGTGGCTCTGTTTCCATTTCTCTCTTATACTTTTCCTCCCTTTTTCATACACACACAGACAGACATCCTTCATCACGACATAATCTTTGCCTGATATGCATCCTGGTTACCACTGTGTACCACTAATCCTTTATACTCCATTTGCATGCACACACCTCATACAATTATTTCCTACATACATTCATAAATACAACTGCGACCCACTTGTCTTACCACCAGCTTGTCTCCTAGACAGTAAATAAAGCAAGCATTTGTAAAATCGGTTAATCTTGAGGCCAAGAGAGTCCGTGAGAGCTGCAGGCACTAACCCTAGTTCGACTGCCAGCTGTTCCCAGAAGAGGGAGCTTCTTCTGGATCCAGAATGCATATTCTTGCTTGGTCATTTAACTAAGAACAAAGAGGAAGCCATCCAAGTCATAGGTCTCTTATTTCAGGCAGAGGTAGCCTTCTGGGTGGTTACACAGGCCTGTTCTTTTCATTTGAGGGAAACTTGTTGGATCACCTGATATTTCCTTTGTGCTGTTTTAGTTGTGATCTAGTTTAGTATTCAATACTACTATTCTTTGCACCCCCTTTGCCTGTTACACATTTGGTGCAATGTGGCCCAAGATTATTTATTTATTTATTTAAAACATTTATATTCTGTCCTTCTCACTCCAAAGGGGACTCAAGGTGGAGCACAACATATATATGGCAAACAATCAATGACAGAACTGTAAGAGCCATTCAGCAGTGGAACTCTCTGCCCCAGAGTGTGGTGGAGGTTCCTTCTTTGGAAACTTTTAATCAGAGGCTGGATGGCCATCTGTCAGGGATGCTTTGAATGCGATTTTCCTGCTTCTTGGCAGGGGGTTGGACTGGATGGCCCATGAGGTCTTTTCCAACTCTATGATTCTATGATTCTATAAAATAAACTATAAATATACATAAGCACTAAAATCAATTATCTCAACTTTAAAAACAATTGTTTAAAACCTCAGATCAACCATGCCTGAGGTTTTGCACAGTCCCAAAGGCTTGGTTCCACAGCCAAGTTTTGACCATCTTTCTAAAGGACAGGAGGGAGAGGGCTGATCTAATCTCACCAGGAAGGGTGTTCCATAACCGGGGGCAATCACTGAGAAGGCCCTCTCTCTCGTCCCCACCAATCACACCTGTGAT